CAAAAGAGGTTTTAAAATCTTGATCAACATTCCCAGGTGACGTGAAACCCTCTTAAATGCATTAAAATCTTATAAGACAATAGTTTTCTAAAACAAAATCATTTTGTTTATGGATTATAGCCCCTTTAAATCAACAATTCCAAAGTGGTTAAACAAGTGGACTTTTTTTAAATGTCCTGCCTAAGTAAAGTAATAGGAAATTACAAAACTAAGAGAGATGTAAGTTTCAAATGATATAAGCTCTCCCACCAATAATGAAAAGTTAAGACTTCTGATTGCAGTCAATTTGGTTATGAAGTGTCATAATCTCATAACAGAACCTATATATAAAATTGGTTCTATTCTTGCTTCTTTAATTCTAACAGAATCTGAGGGTAAAGGAACAGTCTGAAAAAACAGCACAAACCTGCCTGGCTGATCAGGAGAGCTAGATATGAAAATGCTTTAGTTTAACAATACAAACAGCAAAGACAGAGGAAATCTACCCAGAACTGAAGGGCACAATCAAGAGGTATTTTGACCCCAAGACTGAAAAATGGAGAGCCAAACCATGCAAGTCCCAAAAAGGTGGTCAAAATTGAATTCAGAGTGAGTCAGGTCCATCTTAGTGACTGCTTGCTTATAAGAGCAGATACAGTAAGCAGAGAGAATTATAAAGGTACCTAACTGGACTTAGATATTCATATTTTTAAAGTTTTAAAAAAATCTCTCTAGGATGATCCATCTATTATCAACCACTTTAATATTTACGTCTCTAATAACTAAGTCTAAACGCAGATTAAAGTCTGAAACTCAAGTAAAAGTGGTCTCCTTGCCAAGTATCTTCACCATCAAACGGCAATTGCCTAAATTTTAGAATTACTTCACAGTGCAGGCCAACTTCAGGACCTGAAAAACTAGTCATTAAGTGATTACAACTGTCATATTAAAATACAACTCAAAATTATCTTTACAGTCTATTAATATAAACTATAATTAATATAATAAATCCTAAACCAAGTCCTAAACCAGTTATCAATATCATTCAAAGTTAACTAAACTGCAAAAGAGCTCAACTCCACATCCAAGGTTTTTAATTATGACTTTGTGAACATTTTCATAAATATGTCAGCTGCCTAAATTCTCCACTAGAAAACACCTTTCCCTTCATAGATTAAGGATCTGTCATCATTTTCCCCAATACTATATTACTAATACACTAATATAAAACAAGGTCATTAGTGCAAACATTAACTCCAAAAGAAGTTAATGTTTCCTCTCCTTCTAAAGGAAGCTATCAGATTCTGATTCTTGTCTGCTTAAAACTGTAATCAACTCTTTAAGAAAACTTAAATGTCCCCATGAATCTTTTCTTCAAGCAGCGACACATTCCCCTAACTCCGACTCAAGCTGACCATTCCCTTCCTGTGCTCCTATGCAGCACACAGAACATCCCTCCTGTGTAACATAAGTCACATACTATTATAGTTATTACATGTCACTGGACTGAGCTTCATAAAAGAAAGGGACTCTTACCATCATCTTCACACTTAGCATAAATATTCAGATGCTAGGCCAACAAAATCCTAGTTAAATAAATCAATGAAGACCAAAAAAAAAAAAAAAAAGTGCTTTGAATGGGAGGGGTACATTTGCTCTAATTTTGCTAGGGAAGGGAGAAGTGAATTTAACATATCCATACGGAGACTGTGATTAGTGAAATCAATATGTGACCTTGAAGCTAGGATCCTCAGATTTTACAACTTCACAGAGTTCAGCCAGAATTTCATTAACAGCATGTACACATATGACCTATCCTTGTAGGATCCTAACAACCACCTCAAATTCCCATTCTTTCCCCTCTAACAGCACCGATTTCTTTTCCAGAGACAGAGGCCCTCCACCTGCCCCTAACCCATCAGATCCAATTAGAGCAATGTTGACGAGAGCCATCAACTTTTTACTCACTGGGGCACTCCTGCTCCCACAAGGCAATGGAGCCTACTCTGCTAAGTCCACACACTGATAACCAAAGGAGGCATATGTGCAAGGAAGAGGCACAGAAATTATCTCTGCCAAACAGAACAGCACTTAAAATACGAAAACATAGAATCATTGTTTAGCCATTGCAGTTGGTCAGAAGAACCTAAACTTCCTTTATAATGTTGCTTAATAGCAAACTGTTCTGAGTTCTAAATAATGGCCTTACAAAGTAAACCTTTAGACTCCAATTCCTACACTGAGGACTACCGAGGACTCTGGAAGACCATTCAACTGCTCCTCAACAACTGCGATGCTTCAAACCAATTCTCACGTGATGAGAATGTAAACTTACTAAATCTAATAACCATAGAAAGTTTTCAGCGAAACTCAACGACCGTAAACACTCATACCCCCACTCCCAGCTCCACCCACTCTCAACCTAGAAATGAAAGCCAGATCATTACAATTCACTTAAAGAAAACTTGCCAAAGGAGAAAAAAAGTCTGCCACATTAGCCATTAACAGGCTGTATAGTGTTTGGTTTAGCCTCCAAAAGTGTCTCCAATGTGGCTACAAGAGGCAGGCGGGTTGGGAAGGAGGAGAGAAGTTCTACAGCAGATCTCATCCTCAGACAGCTAACTGTGCACGGGGGCACTGACATCTTCCACTAGTGATCTGTGTTACACAGGCAGACCTCCTGCCAGAAGCAGGCCTCTGCAGGGGTAGATAAGGCTTCCCACTCCCATTTCAGGTACTTTTTTAAAAAAGAAAGCTTTAGAAAAGTGATAAATTGGTCTATACACTGCAGACTAAGTCCCTTTTGGTTTAATAGGACAATATAAAGCTCTCACCTATGTACATAGCAGGGCAAATATTTGTTATGAACAGTATTAAGGAAGTCTATGACTTTCAACTGACTATCCTAAAAACCTACTTTCCGCTTCAAAAATGTTTAATCATATGCAACAGGAAATCGTTTTAATCAAGACATATTCAAACAAATTGTTACTCCCTGTGTAAATCTTAACTTTGAAACAAAAGATGAGAATAAACAGAAGCTCTAACTAGTTTGTTTCAAGGACCTAAATTCCTCAGGGGTTTTTTCCTCTCCTTCTAAAAATATTTGTATCACAAAGTACTGATAAACACAGCTTATTCCAACTAAAAATTGCTTTTCTAAACCTCCTGTTTTTGCAACAACCGCCCTATTTTTGTGGTTCCTCTGCAAGTCTAAAAGCCTAACTCAGCTCAATACTACAGCCCTGAAACCGTCCTCGTGAGTATCGTGACAGCCTAACTCAGCTCAATACTACAGCCCTGAAACCGTCCTCGTGAGTATCGTGACAGCCTAACTCAGCTCAATACTACAGCACTGAAACCGTCCTCGTGAGTATCGTGACAGCCTAACTCAGCTCAATACCACAGCCCTGAAACCGTCCTCGTGAGTATCGTGACAGCCTAACTCAGCTCAATACCACAGCCCTGAAACCGTCCTCGTGAGTATCATGACAGCCTAACTCAGCTCAATACTACAGCACCGAAACCGTCCTCGTGAGTATCGTGACAGCCTAACTCAGCTCAATACCACAGCCCTGAAACCGTCCTCGTGAGTATCGTGACAGCCTAACTCAGCTCAATACTACAGCACCGAAACCGTCCTCGTGAGTATCGTGACAGCCTAACTCAGCTCAATACCACAGCCCTGAAACCGTGTTCGTTAAGTATCGTAATACAGACAGACCAAGTGTCTTCCTTACTCAGGAGCATAAAGCAAGTGTCAAGCGTAGAAAGCGGTTACCTTCAAACGGATCCATGCTTAAATGTGCCTGATGCCAACAGTATTTCCCACCCTAAAATCCAATCCTCTTCATTTAAACAAAAGTTTTAGTAATTAAACACTACTTATTCAACAATACAAAATGTATACAATGGAGAACGTGAAAGCCTCACTTTCATATACAGTGCTCTACATGACAGTACACTTCTTTTCCAAACCATTCCAAGACTCTCTGATGACCAAATACGTCCTTTCAAATCTGACTCTGGGACGGATGGAGCTGTCCTATCTATATTTTATTATCTCTGCAATATCCAGATATGATATAGAATGGAGCACAGAGTGGAAAAGCCCTATGAGAAGAATAAAAGGATGCACCGTATGGTGGCGGGGTGGAGGGCAGCGCTCTTTTCAATTAATGTCCATGTATCCTCTACAGGAGAAAAATGTGAAAGGGGTGCTGGTGAAAGGGAATCTACAACTTAAAATTCTTTGCTCCTTGAATCACATATAGTAATCCTGTAAGTATAATTTTTTATAGGGACCACATACTTATTTCCAGGAAAAAAAAATTATCTTAAACTTCTGTTCATATTTCTGGGCCAAGGCTGAAAGTGAAATGGAATTTTAGTGTAATAAGCAATACAAGTTCTGATACGGGTTGTCGTGCTTTATCTTTAAAAATCAAAGAAAGAATGCATCTTTCATTCGCGAATGAGGTTGATGACTTTAAGTCCAAGGACAATGGTCCCTGTTCCATGCCTGCCAACTCTTTTTTTTGAGACAGTTTCCGGCTCTGTCGCCCAGGCTGGAGTGCAGTGGCAAGATCTCTGCTCACGCAACCTCCGCCTCCCGGCTTCAAGCAATTCTCCTGCCTCAGCCTCTGGGATTACAGGCACGCACCACTACGCCCAGCTAATTTTTGCATTTTTAGTAGAAACGGGGTTTCGCCATGTCGATCAGGCTGGTCTCGAACTCCTGATACCGTGATCCGCCCTCCTCAGCCTCCCAAAGTGCTGGGCTTACAGGGGTGAGCCACCGCGCCTGGCCCTGCCTGCCAACCCTTTAAGTCTCTTGGCATTTCTGTATCCTCTTACTAATTAACTGAACCTCATCCGGAAAATATTAACGATGGTTCGAACACTCAGGAGATACAACCTCAGAACTCAAAAGACCGAAAGAGACGTCTGCGATTCAGGACTGGAGGGGAGGGGCAGGAGCCCGCGGGTCGGAGCGCTGCGCCCCGCTTTCCCACACTTACTGGTTTGCTAGGGTAGACGTTCGAGAGGTGCGTTTTTAACCTCCCCACGGTCCAGTTCAAGAAGCAGCTAATAGTCTGGTCGCTGTACTTCTGATTCGGTGCCTTAATGACGAGCGTCACAGGAATCTCCATCCCACTTTGGTCCATGGCGCCCCCGAGTCGGACGGTCAAGCGGGGCAGCAGTTAAGCCCAACAGAGAACGAGGTGGTCACGGCCCGCGCGACTGGGATGCGGAGAGAAACGAGCTCTCAGTACTCCGTGTCCAGGTCAGTCACAGCCACAAGCGCGCTGGGCGATACCAGGGCCATTGCCGGTACCAGGGATGGGCACAGGCGGCGGCGGCGGGGTCGGGTGCCGGGCCGTGGACGCAGCTCTCCCCGCCAGGTCCGGCCTCCGCCGGGCTCCGGAACGTGGAGGCAGTCGCGGGGAGGGAGGAAGCGATGAGAAGGCAGGCCGGGAGGGGTGAGGCCACGACGGCCGGCCCGGGGTCACCGCCCCGCCCCGCCCCGCCGCGCCCCGCAGGCTGGAACGCAACAAGGCCCCTACGCCACGGCCCCGCGGGGCGGGTCGGGGAAGGGGCTGCGCGGCTCAGGGCGGTCAGTGGGGACCCGGGTACCTGGAGGAAGGCCGCGGGGCCCGCCACCGCCGCCCTCCGCGCCCAGCAGGGCCGCCGGCCACACCGTCCGAGGGGCGTTCTCCGCGGCTGCCGCTCCCTTCCTGCTGCGCGGCGGCGGCCACGGCCCAGCCCCGGGTCTCGCTAGGCGGCGCGGGCGGCAGTGAGAGAAGTTGGCCGACGGGCGCGGCCCGGCTCTCCCGACCCCTCAGGCTGGCCGGCTCAGGGTGGCGCAAAGCAGGGCCGGGCCGGGTGCGGCCGAGGCGACTGCAGGTGGCGGGAGGGCGGGGACCGGGGCCGTGGAGCCGGCCGCGGGCGCGCCGATTTTGTTGTTGTTGTGAGGAAGGGCCGCGGCCCCTTTAAGCCGGAACAGGCAGGGCGGAAGTGCGTCACCGGCGGCACGCCCCCTACACGTGGCCCTGCCGGCCCCGCCGCCGCCCCTCCCCGCCCGCCGCGCTCGGGCTGCCCGGGACACTCGCCGCCCGGTGCTGCGTCGCCAGCGGCAGGTCGGGCCCCTCGGAGCCTCTCCCTCCCGGCCGTTCGCTCGGCCCCGGCCCCGGCCCCGGCCCCGGCTGCCCTAAGGCCTACCACTACCTCGGCCGGCGCCAGCCTACCCTGTCTCGGCCGCACCCTGAAGATTTGGGAAGTCCTTCTCCGTCCCAAGAGTCGTCTCTGCAAAAGATGGTGCCCTTCCTGGTGCTGAACCGCACTCGGAAAATGTGTTGAGCGTCGTCTGTCTGCAAAGCACGGTGCCAGGAGCTGTGGCAGAGAAGCCGTGGGGTACATGAGTAAGGAGTACAGGCTTTTGGTTAAACGGGAAGTCTTCCTCTACTTCCCGGGGGACCCCGGCGGTCCTTGCTGGGCCTCCGTTGACTCGAATGGGGACAGTAATGCCTACCTGACCGCACGCTGATGAGTAAATGAGCTATGAGTGCAAAGCGTGGTGCAGTTCTCGCGTGTGCCAGCCCCCAGGTGTCAGTTTCCCCTTAATCGACAAGTATTCATTGAGCACCTACTGCGTGTTCAGTACTGTGGGACATGAGGGATGACAGTATTATTTTCTATTTTGTAACTTAGACGTAAGAACGAAAGGTTAAGTCTATTGCCCACAGCCGACCTTTCTTCAGTTTCTGCTGAGGTTTAGGGGTCTGTATAGTAAGTTAAGGGTTGTTAGATGTGCATTTTCACAGCTCCCGACTTCCATTAAGGAACAGATAATACAGGGGGCTTCGCGAGCTTGTCTCTTTCCTTCTCAGCTTCAGAAGGACTTCGAGGTACCTACCACTGAATTTGAGACTGGGGGAAATTCTTCCTCTCAACTGCTAATGCAGCAGGATCTCTTACACCCTACCCTCCCTAACCTTGCTCTTCATGGTAAAACACATACCATATCTTAGCCGTACTCTATCAACTGCACATCTGGAGTTACGAGTGAAGTGTCCTTTGTTTCCAGTCATGGAATAACAACTCGCTGTGATACTGGCTTCCCGTAGCAGACTCTTCTTTGTCTACCCAGTCACGCTAATAGAACTTTAATGCTAGCCAAAGTTATTTTCTGAGACTCCCTTGCAGAAAGGGGCAGCCATTTGACACACTTGTAGCCAGTGAGTTGAAAGCTTCTAAGAAAGCGTTTCGGTGGACAGGTTCTGCGAATCAGAGCTCATCTTTGCCCTACACCTGCCTTCCTTCCTGGAGGAAAGTGAAGAGCCACAGCACGCATAGTTCACTCCTGAAGCAACAAACAGGAGAACAGTGGCCTGCATGCCAAGGATGGCAGAGCAGAAAAATGTAAAGAGGCAGGGTACTTGGTGGCATTGTTGTGCCGCCAGGCAAGCCCTAGGCTGTCTTCCCTAAGACTTTTTGTTTTTGATCCAATTCCTGTTTAAGCCATAAAGTTATCACAACTTTCACCACCCGCTTCTGCAGCCGTTGTCACATGCCTGTGACTCCGACTTCCAGGAGTCCTTTAGAAGTGATGTGGCAATGTTGTTTGACACCATGAAATGTACATTGTTAATGAAGTTACCCTAATTGTAAATATTAAGACAGAATGTGCGTTTCACAGTGATGAATACTGTTCATAACGGAGTCTGTCAAAGGTTTGCTAACATGGGATAAAACATTTAAAATTGTAATGAAGGCTGGGCGCAGTGGCTTGCCTGTAATCCCAGCACTTCAGGAGGCTGAGACAGGCAGATTGCTTGAGCTCAAAAGTTCAAGACCAGCCTGGGCAACATGGAGAAACCCTGTCTCTACAAAAAATACAGAAATCAGTCAGGCGTGGCGGTGCATGCCTGTGGTTCCAGCTACTCTGGAGGCTGAGGTGGGAGGACTGCTTGAACCCAGAAGGCAGAGGTTGCAGTGAGCTGAGACTGCACCATGCACTCCAGCCTGGGTGTTAGTGAGACTCTGTCTCAAAAAATAATAAAAAGTAAAAATAAAATCGTAATGAACACAAGAAATTGGAATATAAGGGTCCGAAGATGATACTGTATCAGAAAAAAGGACTTTTAACTTTACAGCCACTTGAATTAAGTGCCTGAAAATCCTTCTGATGCTGTTGAACTTGGCCATGATGACAGCAGTATGTACATATCCCATTCCTGTTAAAATATGTGTAAACAGGTGTGTGTACAGAGCAGTGTGTGAAAGGGTGGTCCCCAGAATATTGATAGTGTTTGACCTGGAATTTGGGCTAGGAAAAATAATGACCAATGAAGAGACACAAGACGGCAGCAGTTAGGGAGAGGCTGTCCCTGGAGCACCCTGTTTAAGTCACTGTACATGTTAACAGGTAAGAACTGGAAATGTCAAAGAACAGTTGCCCAGCTCAGTTAGCATTTGTTACTAAAGACGGCCCAGGCCAGGCATGGTGGCTCGCACCCGTAATCCCGACACTGTGAGGCTGAGGCAGGTGGATCAGCTGAGGTCAGGAATTTGAGACCAGCCTGGCCGACATGGTGAAACCGATCTTTACTAAAAATGCAAAAAACTAGGCGCGGTAGTGCATGACTGTTATCCCAGCTACTGGGGAGGCTGAGGCAGGAGAATTGCTTGAACCTGGAATACAGAGATAGTAGCGAGCTGAGATTGTGTCACTGCACTCCAGCCTAATCGACAGAGTGAGACTCAGTCTCCAAAAAAAGCTGATAACATGAAAATTCTTAAGAGTACCAAGGTAATCGATAACAAAAGAGCCGTGATCATTAATAATAAATATAATACTTCAACTGAGGAATGGAAAACTAAACATCCTATGTTCTCGTAAGTCCCTAAGCTATGAAGATGCAAAGGCATAAGAATGATACAATGGACTTTAGGGACTTGGAGGGCAACGGTGGGAAGGAGGGAAGGGATATATAAACTACAAATTAGTTTCAGTGTATACTGCTCCGGTGATGGGTGCACCAAAATCTTACAAATCACTAAAGAATTTGTGTAACTAAATACTACCTGTTCCCCAAAAAACTATGGAAATAAAAAATTAAAAAATTAATACTTCTCTGCTTCAATGATATTAACTATTCAGTACACTAAGTTTAGCAATTCAGTGATTTCTGACTGTGAGGTGGCTCTCTTTGTTAACAAAGAAAATGTAAATTTGAAGAAAATTATTTGTAAATAATAAAAATTGATTTCTATGTATTTATGGGATGTTTGTCTACTTCCACTTCTTTGAGGTGGAAAAGAGGATAGCTAGAAAACAGCTGGACACGTGGCTTACACCTTGTCATCCCAGCACTTTGGGAGGCCGAGGCAGGCAGATCGCTTGAGGTCAGGAGTTCAAGACCAACCTGGCCAACATGGTGAAACCCCATCTCTACTAAAAATACAAAAATTAGCTGGGCGTGGTGGTACACACCTGTAGTCCAGCTACTCAGGAGGCTGAGGCAGGAGAATATCTTGAACCCAGGAGGCGGAGGTTGCAGTGAGCTGAGATCACACCACTGCACTCCAGCCTGGGGAACAGAGTGAGACTCCATCTCAAAAAAACAAGAAGAAAACATATTGATTCATTCAGTGAGATACCAGGTTCTTTTAAAAATTCAAAGAAAGTGCTTGTCATTGAGCTCTTCTTACGGAAATTTGGAGTACCCTCCAGGAAGCTAGAGTACTTTTCCTACGTTGAATGGTGTAGTTTGAGTTTGTTTGATAGCTCTCTTGGAAGGAAAGACTTGAATCAAGTGATGACCTTGCGGTTGCAAGTTTCAGAGATGATGTTGGCCATCTGGCTTCTGAATCCATTCATTTCCACTTTCACCATCCTTGTCAGTGTTTTTAAAGAGGCTGCGTCACAAAGCATCTAATCAAATCGCAATCAAGTTTATTGTTTTTAAAAAATGGAAACCTATACTGGAAGCCTAGGAAAATTAGCTCATTTCAACACTGCACTTTAAAAATCGTAATTGGTCCCAGATGTTTGATCATAAGTCATCTTGTAGGAAATGAAACAAAACCATTCATTAAATGCCAAATGGGTGTTTTGAATTAAATGTCATCTAATAAATTCTCAGAACAGCCCTGAGGGATAGTGAGGCTCAGAAAGGGTCAAGATCTCGCCCAAAAGCACACAGTAAGTTTGAAATAGAGTTCTGTCTCCAGCGTAATGCACACTCTTTCCACTACACAGAACTTTATTACTTAAAGAAAATC